CAGGGGCGGAAGCTCCCCTCCGCGCCCCGCCCCCCTGCTCCAGCTCACCTCCGCCTCCTCTGCAAGTGCGCCGCCGCGTCCTGTTTCTCTCCCCTCCCAGTGCTTGCGCCGCGAAACAGCTGTTTCGCGGGGCAGGGAGGGAGGGGAGAGAAGGGGGGAACGCCATGCGCTGGGGGAAGAGGTGGGGCTGGGGGCGGGGATTTGGGGAAGGGATCCAATAGGGGGAGGGAGGGGGCAGAGTTGGGGTGGGGACTTTGGGGAGGGGGTTGGAATGGGGGCGGGGAAAAGGGCGGAGTCAGGGCGGGGCCAGGACGGCAATTATTTCCCGGCCTAGGGGTGGCAAAATTATTAATCCGCCACTGGTCCCTATGGGGGAGGGAGGGGGGAGTGGGCACTGGAATGGAGTTCCAGCCAGTGAGGCAGGGGCAAGGAGAAGTTGCCCTCTTACCCAAGAAATATCTGAGTTGGCCCCACTGTTTCCTATTCTAAAATATAGAAAAATGCTGCAGTAGCTCAAGTAGCAGCGTGGCAAGTGTTAGCTTTTAGATGGCAACTGCTAGTTCATGGCAGAGCTGAGTCATAACACGATGAATCATATTCTCTAGGCATTTCCATTCAAAGTACCTATTGTAAAGGAGCTGGAAACGAACATTAAAATGCCACTGTTGGATAAAAATACCAGGAGCAGTTTCACCAAAATTATGAAAAACGAAAAGTTTTCCCCATTGCAGGACTGGAAAAAAGATGTAGGATTTTCAAAGTCTCTTTCCATGTCTCAAAACTAGAATTACAGAAGCAGAAATCTGGCAGGCCATTGGGCCATAACATGGACTGTGGGTATCTGGGAGGAAATACTGGGTTTTTTTTGTTTGTTCAGTTTTTGTCCTATTTTTTTGCAATACTCAATACAGTGCATCCAATTCCCTGTAACAGGTAAGGGACTCTCACAGCTAAGTTTCCTTATATACCAGAATGAAAATGTTCTCCATCTGCAGGTGCCTAATTGTCACACACATGTTCACAAAGGTTGGCCTTTGGCTCGGTTTTTGAAGGATTTTTTTAAAAATGGTCCACAATGACTCCTCCAGACTTTACATAGACTATGACCTATTGGGTAACAAACAACCGCTTTTTAAAAATGCAGAGCAACGTGATAAACTAGGACTCCAACTGGGCAAATAGTACATATTCTCTAAAATAATAGTGTGTGCCAACACATACTGTATATTGGCCAAAGGACTTTTACAGTCTACAGGGTAAATATAATGCATACTAAATTATGTGCTGCACAAATCCCAAATATACATTTGATTAGTTATGTAATACATTTTCCAGAATGTCTGTCTATGTATTTAGCCAGGGCTATATGGCTGTTACACTAGCCCTAAAGTTTGTTTACCCAAGAGAACGATATGTATATTCAGTACACTGGATAGATTTATACATACATCTTAAATCTCTAGGGTATGGCATGGAAACAAACAGGAATGGATAACTTGTGGGGTTATCATGGAAAAATACATGCCTTTTAATGTGAATCATGTGCTATTCCTCAATCTCCTAATAAAAATGCCCAATATAGACACTGAATGCATCTTAGACTATTTAATTAACTGCTAAAAGTTCGCAGAGAAAAAAGGGAAAAAATTTCACAGTGTGAAAGAACGTTTTGCCTTTGAGAGAGTAGAATTATCTGGAAATATGAAAAGCATAATACGTCTTCTGTGCTGGCAGAACTGGCAGGATAGGCACATACCTGAACCCAAGATGGAGGAAATGCTTGCTGCCCAGTTTTGTCATTGCTTTCCTGGCTGAGTCATCCAAGTTTCTAGATCCTTCATCATTCACTGCTATTGACAGGATCATGCCATTGTCAATTGCTCTCAAATACTGGACAAGACGGGCACTTTCCCCTTTCAGTTTGTAGGTATCAAACCTAAAGGAAAGAAAAGAAGCTTTTAAACCAGGGAGCATCACACCTTCTCTATATTCCCTCTGGTTAAAAATCGGTATTATAGAGAGAGATCTACATGTTTGTATTGCTACAGATACCATTATACATCATCCCTTGCAAAGATGCTACTTAATAGTATAGTGAAATGGAATGATTATTATACTGGTTTGTTTAAAAGAATACATTATGGTTTGCCATAAAACTAATTCAGAGAATTGCCTAAGATCTAGATAATGAAACAGCAAAACTGTAACAATAACCATCCCATTTGAGAAATAGTGGCAGGTGAAAAAAGTAGGTATGTATGTAGGAAAAGAGAAAAAGTATTTTTTTTTCTTACTGATATACTTTCTAGGATAGTGTTTTGTTTTGTTTCTCTTGTTGTTGGGTGCTTTGTTTGCTTGATTGTTTTTTATCCTAGTTAAAAAATGCGTGCCAATACCGGAGTAATACATTATTTACTGTGCAGTTATTTCCTTTTGTAACACCGGATTAGAAATAAGATGCATGCCTGTATTTTTAAAAAAACCCTAGCTCTCAGATGAAAACCCCTACAATCAGCAGTTCTTCATAAACATTTTTAAAGCTTCAAATATTTAAAACTGTTAATTGTCTTAATTAGTGGTAACATGTTTCCTTAGAGAAGGGACCCAAATTTAATTGAAGTGAGCACAAGGAAAAACGCATCACTTATTTCTGGTGTGAGACTACAGTGCTGCTTCAGTTGGAATCCAGCCAGTAGCTCTGCATCCCCTTTGAAGTCAATGAGAAGTTTGTCTGAGGCAGTTCTTCAGGGCCTGGTTAGGATACGAGTTTGCTTAGATCGTAAGCTTGCTGGGGGCCGATCCATCTTTTTGTTCTGGGTTTTACAGCTCTCAGCACAATAGGATCCTGGTGCAGGACTCAGGTTCCTAGGAACTACCACAAAACATATACATAATAATAATAATAATTTTGTAGGCCATAAATCTAGTACTTGCTAATGACCCATCAGAAAGGAAGTTTCTGGGTAAACTGCCCAGAAAAACCTAAGGACTCCGTGATACAACTGTCTTTGATCCACATTAAGGGCCTGATCCTGCAAGGTGCTGAGCACCATCTCCTCTTGCTGACTTTGCAGGGAGTTGAAGTCATTCATCATCTTGCAGGATTGGGCCCTAATTTGGTTATGGAGAGTACGGAATTGAAAAGAGCTATAGTGAGGCATACAATGAGACCTACATAAATCTGTCCCCGGAAATTCCCTTTGCCTGTCTCTGATCTGACGGTGATGCTGCCTTCAAGGTAAAGTCAAAAAAATCTGACTCACCGATCTGAATGGATGACTGCCCCTGTTTTTGGGTCAATAACATGGACAATGACACCTCGATGCCCCCAGCTCCTTTCAAAGTAGTAGCCACCTTCTTCCATGCCACCAGGGTGGAGAGTCTTGTTTAGAAAAGTCCAGGACAACTTTTTCTCACCATGGATCTCAAGGGTTCCACCTCGACTGACTCCAATATATTTTTGCCCAAAGTCAGCGTCTGGCTGGATGCCATCATCTGCTCTGGAGGGTAAAAACATAATACACACATATATGAATTAGAATATTTTACTATCAAGCCAACACGAAGCCTCCCACCAAGTGCTGGCACTGCCCAACAGGAGAGGAAGCAACAGGTTTCGAATGTATTTCTTTCAAGAGATCCCAAGGAATGCAAAATGCTGGGACTCTATAGAAAATAAATTCTTTGTCTGAAATAACACTAACAACAGGGGTCAGAGACAATTTAGGACAGACATGGCAGCTGACTCATTATTACTAGTTTGTTGTTCTTTTAGATTACTACTGACATTCCACTTTGGAGGCTTGTCGACACACAAAAGCTGTACTGGTAGGAAAGCAGTACAACACACCTAGTGTGGATACAGTTATATTGGTATAAATGGGCTTACACAAGGATAGCTTTTCCCATATGGGAAGGGGAATATGCTATGCTGGTATAGCCGCATGCACACTAGCAGTTGTAACTGTATAACTTTTTTTTTTTTTAAAAGCAAACCACATCCCTAGCTGACATAGTTATATCAGTACAAAAGCTGTGTATCAACCAGGCCTGAGCGAATAGAAAGTAATATTTACCAACTTGAAACATTAGAGCACTTTGCACAGAAGTGAAGTCTATTTCTTTGACTGAATTACCTCTTGTGACACTACACCCCATATTCTTCATAGAGATATTGTTAGGATCTGAACATGGCATAACTAAGATATGTTTTATGTAAGATGGATCATGTGAGGTATCATTGGAAAGGTTATGATGTCCGGACTATGATTATCCTATTTGTACGCATGTATCATTTCTGTATCTGAAGTTAAGAATATTGCATATGTAACAATTACAACTGTGTTTACACCTGGGGAACGCACACCAGACAGTAGGCAATCAGCCTGGATGGGCCATTAGGGAGAACAATAGAACTCTGAAGATGCTAATCTCCGACTTTCCTGAGAAGCTTCCTGGGATGCTGCTTTGACACTACAAAGTTGTGTGATCATGTCACTTGGTACTGGACCCCATCTTGGCGCACTAGTATTTTTCCACTAATAGTGGTGGGGGCCAAGCGGGGAAACAAACGATTCCTGCCATATGTAAATCCCATTTAAGGCAGGGAAGTGAGTTAATCTAGGTCTGTTCTCCACTGAATCCCTGCCCAAGATGACTGCTGAAAACCAGTGGCGTAGCCAGCTTTTAAGAGGAGGGGGAGCAAAGATAAAAAAGGCGCCCCCCCCTTGGCTCCTCCTCTGGCCATACCCCCTTGGCTCCTCCTCCGGCTGCACCGACCCTCCCCCTCCATGGCTCCTCCGGCCCTGCCCTGCCACTCCCGTGGCCCCCCCTCTTGCTCCTCTGGCTGCCATGCTGCGCCCTCCCAGCTCCTCCGGCTGCGCCCGCCGTCCCCCCATGGCTGCCAGGCTGCCAGCCTGGGCCCCCCCTTGCTCCTCTCTGGCCTGGCCACGGCTGCCAGGCCACCAGCCTGCATCCCCCCTTGCTCCTCTCCGGCCTGGCCGCGGCTGCTGGGCCACCAGCCTGCGTCCCCCCTCGCTCCTCCGGCCGCTTTTGGAAAGGCGGGCGAAGTGGCTGCTTCCCCTGCACCCTGCTAGCTACTCTAGTGCTAGAAACACCTAAGACTGATCTGGGGAAGAAAGGACTGGACCCAGGCTAGAAGGCGTCTGGCCTGTGAAAGGAATATCTGGAATTCTAAGCTGCAAGCAAGAGCAGTTTGTCTACAAGAAACTCTGCAACCTGCTTAAAACAAAATTTAGGGTGAGAAATTACTACTTGTAGCCAGTTTCTTTAGTGGATTAAGCTTAGTTTACGTATTTGCTTTATTTGCTCAGTAATCTGCTTTGATCTGTTTGCTACGCCTTATAATCACTTAAAATCTATCCTTTGTAGTTAATAAATTTGTTTTTGGTTTCTATAAACCAGTTTGTGCAATTCATAACTGGGGGGGGCAAAAAGCTGTGCAGATCTTCCTCCACGTTGAGAGAGGGAATGAATTTCATGAGCTTAGACTACAGATTTCTGTGCCGCGCAAGACAATACAATTGGGTTTACACTCCAGAGGGGGTGTGCATTGAGTGGTGGGGAATTCCCGAGCTGAGTCTTCCCATGCAGTGTCTATGTCTTTCTGCAGCTGGCTGTGGCCCTGCCTGCGAGTGTGCTGGAGGAGGTTTGAGAGCCTGGCTCAGCAGGGCAGTGTAACGGAACCCAGACTGGTGGAACCGGCAGGCTCAGTGGTACCCCAGTACATCAGGGACACCTGTCTCACACACACACACACACACACACACACACACACACACACACACACACACCTCTCTCTCTCTCTCTCATAAGAAGGAAAGAAATTTAGGCATGAAAATTTTCAGACCAAGGTAACTGGAAGAAACGTTGGGCCTTTTTTCCTGTGACTTTAAAACATTTGAAAGAATGGATAGGCTACAACATCTCTTGAGCAAGACAGCTAATGAGATCAATTGGTGGTGAAATATATGGCAGTTTTGTGATGGGTCAAACAGGACTCAAAACCAGGTCCCAACGTTTCTCTTTTTGTTTTGTTTGGTAAAGTTAATTAGCTCAATATTCCAAGAAGCCCCCACAAAGCATTGTTTGCATGAGTGGTTTATGTTTAATGTCAATGAAACCTTAATTGTGATGATTATTTTGTATCTCTGCATTGTGAAAGGGAACATGTAATATAGAGATCCAGCACTAAGTTAGGGGATTCATGTGCTTTAGGTACATACCGCCCATATAAGATGATCGTCACATTACTTTGGTATGGACATAGCTCACTGCCGATATGTAGCTCTCCTCCATTTTCAATCAATATATGTCGAGTTCGCAAAACTATAGGCTGTGTATTGTCCTTAATGACCAGTTTTCCTAAGGAAAAAATAATGGTATGAAGTTTTAAAACACAGCAAGTCATCAGAGTTACTGGTGCTCTTGTGCAAAAGGCAGGGCCAGCTTTTCCAATTACATCAGAGAGAAATGCCAAACATATTCCCCAAAGCTGCGTTAGGGCCAGATCCTAAAGTGTTTATTTGGCTTTTACTCAAGCAAACTCTCACTGAAGTCAGTGGAGTTTTGCATGGAGTAGGACTGAATAGGAGACTGCACAAGGACTTACGAGTTAATGCTGAATAAAAGCGGTTAATGCTAGCAGTCATCAGCAACAAAATAGGATACTGCCCTTCCAGACAAAGAGTAAACACATATCTGCCTTTTCCTGAGACCCTAAGAATATTGTTGCTTCATTATGACATTATCTGTACAGCGAATTACTAGGATAGGGTTTACAAAAGAAATTGTAGGACCAGAACTATTAAGCAAGTTGATGTACTTTTGTAAATTCTCCAGAGAAGACAAACTACTCTTAGCTGCCCAGAGCTGATATCATCCCTATCACCACCCACCCTGGTATGAAATTGAACTTGGCATTATCCAATATTTGCTCTACCTCAGAGCACCCTGGAGGAAGCTGTCCCTGTGCCATCTGTGCTGATCTAAGTAGACGTAATGGAGAACCCTTGTCCCCTGGCTTGGCTCTCAGGCTGGCAGAAGGATTTACCTCCATCTGTGATGTTGATAGAGTGGACGGTCGCAGAGGAAGAGAGAAGGAGCTTCCTGCCTTTGCTGATTTCAATGTGTTGATCTTCATCGTGACCAGCGTCCCAGGGTTCCAGCTCAGGGTCCTGATCAGGACACGCTGAGGCTGCTTCTGCTGATAGAGATGAAGGGAGATGATAAAATTATCCTGGCTTCACTCAAGAAAGAGTCACATCTATGCCCTTGACGCTGTCATGCTCGATAAATTACATTCAAAGAGGATGCCTCTTCCCTGAAATGCAAATATGTCCCACCTTGATTGGACTGTATTTGGGTCATGATAAAAGGAAAATGAGCGATAACTTTGGGAACATAGAATCATAGAATATCAGGGTTGGAAGGGACCTCAGGAGGTCATCTAGTCCAACCCCCTGCTCAAAGCAGGACCAATCCCCAACTAAATCATCCCAGCCAGGGCTTTGTCAAGCCTGATCTTTAAAACCTCTAAAGAAGGAGATTCCACCACCTCCCTAGGTAACCCATTCCAGTGCTTCACCACCCTCCTAGTGAAAAAGTTTTTCCTAATATCCAACCTAAACCTCCCCTACTGCAACTTGAGACCGTTACTCCATGCTCTGCTGGAGTCAGGAAGCACAAAAAAAAACTTTACTACCCTGCACAGCAAAACATCACTGGTCCCACCGCATCAAGATAGCGGTAGAGAAAAGGGGAGGATTTTGCCCTTAATGTTACAGCTCTGCCTGTCAATGTCCAGCTATAATGTGAGCAGTCTGTCACTAGCTGCACAAAGGTGTCTGCTCTGGGGAGCAAATGAAAATGGAGAAAATAAGACCCAACCTGAACCATCACCTAAACACGAGCTAATGCCAAACAATACCGGTGAGGTCTGGTAAACTTAAAGGGGGGAAAAAGCTATACAGTTCTACAATCTTTACTCTTCAACTGGGATTGGAAGTACGATCGGTTTAAATACCATAACAGGATAGTTCTCAGGGAGATTTCAGTCTGACCAAAGCCAGGAAAAGCTAGAAATCTCATGAGAGAACGGTTGGCTTCATTATATCTTTCAGACAAAAAAGAGAAGGATCCACCCTCCCGAGGGTTGCACATCATTGGTCTCCACACACATCTCAACTGTGCTCATGCACCAAACCCAAGGGCATCTCATGTGATAAGTATTTAAACTAAGATATTTATCTGCTTTAATCTTACCCAACACATTAGCCCCACATCTACTCTAGTTCAACAAGGGGTGTGTGTGTGTGTGTGTGTGTGTGTGTGTGTGTGTGTGTGTGTGTGTTTCATGATGGTTAAAAACTTCCTAATTAAAGAAGATTGAGGACAATGGGAGTTTAAACAATGAACCCTTTCCCATCAATGGGAGTTGCAGGTTCTCATCAGCTCTTGGAACTTCGCCTAATGTGATCATTTTTAAGACTCTCTCACTGTCAAGATGTTCTAGTGCGGACATCAAGAAATACTGTGACAATTAGGGAGCTATATATTCTGTATTCTTTTGCCACTAGAAAACCAGAAGGACAATTGGAATTCTGTAACATCATGAACAAAGTCTGTCCATCTGCATTGAGTTTCCTGTCAGATTCCAAATCAACTCCAACTCTTAAGAAAACAATAGAATTGGATCAACCACTGGTCTGGTGTCTCTTAAGGACATCCTCTATTGAGACTCCACAGGACCAGTTATCCAGGGTAGCAAGTGACATTTCATGTGTGCAACATGTGTCCTGGCTCTACATAAGTTCTTTACATAGAAATGCAGGGATCAAGTCAAAGAATGCTAATAACTGTTGAGCGTGATTCAAACACTGAAAAATATCCAGGGCTCAAATCAAATATGTGCACCAGTTTCAAACTGGAGTGATCCCATGGTATAAATGGCATTCCTCCCAATTTACACTGGAGGAGAAAAGATCAGACTCAGGCTCCCGATCTCTACTGGGAGATGTATAGAATCAATAAGAGTAGCCTGAAAAAGAAATAATTCAGGCAATAGATGGAACTTGCATTGTAAGCCTGAAAATAACACTAATTTAAATAGACAACCACCGTCAAAAGAAATGATCAAGGGTTCTACAAAGGACAAGAATAATTGGAAGTGTGCTCACATCGAGATTATAAAAATCAATCACAGACACTGACATTTGAATCAAATCTAAAGGTGTAATCTTCCAAACAGGCTAAATTGGATGGGTAAAAGCCAGCTCGTTATTATTATTAGTGTATCATGGGTGTTTTCCCAACATTCAAGAAAAGACAACACCAGCCCTGGGGAATTCATAGTCTAACGACAGGCAGAGAAGCAGTCAGAGGTTAGGGGGAGGGGATTTACTCTTATGACTTGGATTTAAATTAGCAAAAGCCAGGATAATTCAGAGTTAAAGATCCAAGCTCCTTTCTTAACTCATTCATACCAGGAGCAGTGGAGAAACTCTACAATCCAATCCGAGTCGGTGTTCTCCAGCAAGACATCCATTGCGAGCCATAGAAGGACTGAAACAGCTAAACGGTTAACTGTCTCTCTAGTACCCATTTACTTCATCACAGATGAAATGTCAGCCTTATCTATGAATCTCCTGGTCTTTTTGCACTCAGATGCCAGCTCCCCTTCAGGGCATTCTGCAGAATTAGCTACGTTTCCTTTTGTGCCTAAAATTCCCTAAGCACAGCAATGACAGTGTACCTCATGTTGCTTAATGATGGCTTTGGGGTTAAATTAGGGAGGATTAAAAAAAGTCAGAAACAAATCAGCCATACTTAGAACCTAGAGAATACCACAGCGAGGAGAGATGTAACTTGGAGAGGCCGAACATAATGCATGAAATGCTTTTACTTTTATCAGCAAGACCCAGAGAAGGACCGAGGAACCATCCTGGGACAGGATGGCTTTTTGCTCTCCCCATAATTTCTGATGTTCTAGCCATGAGGGCGGAGCTAGGACAATGCAATAAAATGCTCAAAGTACATCTCAGAACAACAGCTCTTGGGCTATTTTATAAACTTGTCTTATTCAGCTTCTTCACTTCATATAGCATTTTCAACTGCTTAGTTGTTTCTTCCTTTGCCTTTAACGAAGCTGCTCTAAACTAGGGAGGCTGGGGAACTTGGGAAATTAATCCTGTTATGTATTTCCCCACATTGCTTGTGCTATAAGCTCCCTGCAGACACTGGATTAAGGACTGAAAGGACACCTGACCTACAGCTGCACTTTCCCGAGTTACAAATACTGTTGTTATTTATATACCTTCTGTTGGCTGGAAACTTACCTGTGCATACAGAAGAGATTACAAATAGAAGAGAAACAAAACTGATGACCAGGTCCATCCTGGGAAGGGAGGCTGCTTTCAGTATTCTTAGTTCTGTGGAGACCTGTGACAAAGAACACCAAGGCAGGAATTAGATCTTTGTCAACTCAAGCATATTTTAAGCAAAAGTTACACATGACACGGAGAAAGGGTTACATCCTGTTTTCTGACTAAGCAGGCCTTCATTTTTCACCCCTCTTGACTTGTTAGAGAAGAACAGGAAAACAAGAACACCCCCCACCCAACATATGCCCCTTTGTTAGGTTTAATATTCAGATATTCAAACATGTACACAGAAGGAAATCACAACATGTGACAGGAAACTTCTTAGGAATGCAGTATAAACACATACGGTATCAGGACTGTGGATGGCTGCATACTCACATGTGCAACACCCCTCCCACCCCCCGCAAAAAATGAAAACAACACAGGATTAAATTTTCAGAGTGACCTCAATGTGAGTACCTTAAACTGCATGCCTGTGTTCTGGGCGCGAACTTTTTGCAACCATGTTCTATGCATCCCAAAATTCTGACTTGCAGTTTTGAATCCACACCCTCTGGACTTTTGGGTGCTCAGTCACTCCAAATTGCAATTCTGGGAGCAAAGCTAAAGGATGCTTTTAGAAATTTCCCCTCTGAAGATCTAGCTTCAGTGCCATGAAATTTAGATTTGGAGTGGGCTGGAGCGCTGTCTTTAAGTAATCTCACTGTGTCTAGGATTACTGTGATTATAGCCCATATGCTAAAGGGCCTGATTATGCAACTCTGCCTCATGCTGGTTAGAGTTCATGGACATGAATAGTCCCATGGAGGTCAAGGGTTATGTACTTCTGTGCATACTACTTATGTAAAATGTTCACTTGTATGTATTTGTAAGGCATTGTTTAAAATCCATATTCTTTAACCAGTATAGTCCTTGGAGCCACTACATTTCATTGTACAATTCTGTAGTGATGGACTTTTAAAGAAACTTGTTTGTAATCCATATGGCCATATAATGGTTATAACATAATACAGAGTCAGCATATGATTAGACAGATTGTTCATAGGTCTCTTATATCCATAGGATTCTTCTGTATGTCAACATACATCAGTTTAGGCTCCTCTTCGTATTTACATACATTTGGTTTTAAAGTCACTGATAGTCAGGGCTGGCGCAACCCATTAGGTGACCTATGCAGTTGCCTAGGGCGCTACAATTTGGGGGGCGGCGACCGCGGCGATATTTCGGCGGCGGGACCTTCCACCGCCTCTGTGGGGGGCGGCATTTCAGGGCGGGACCTTCCGCCACCTAGGACGGCAGAAAAGCTGGCGGCGCTCCTGCTGATAGTTGTGTGAGCATCTTGAGGGCAGTCTCTTCAAACACAATGTTTGGTTGCAAATAAGACCATTAGGTTCTTTTCCAAATTAAATAAACCTCCCTATGCAGACACAAGGAACCTGTTCATATTGCAAAGTAATACAGTGTCAAATATTTGTTTAGAAAAATCACATTGGTTTGGAGTTATACAGGTAAAAACAATAAAAGATAACTCTGGGGAGCTCCAATTCCTTACCTAAGAAAACTTCAATTATTGTACTTATCCTCTTGTAATTAAAAAAACCCCAAGATTTAGTCTGGAACAAATTCCTCAGCTGAAATAAATACAGGAGGTGTCCGCGCTGGGCATGTAAATGGTAAAATTTTAATTACAACTACTTACCCAAAACGTATTGCCATGAAATTTGGGGCATTGTATTAAAAGTAGCATTACAACCAAATTTGTCAAGAAACATCCCAACAGGAAATAAGTTTGCTTGTACAGTTGTAGGGCATAGTGACATGAGGATTGCTGGTCACATGGCTCATGCCCACTGAGTGAAAGCAACAGTCTATCCATGAGTGACAATACAGACAGCCTGCCACGTGATACTCAGTGCTAAAAAGGATATTGCAGGATAGTAGAGAAAAAGCAATACACATAGTAATAGTGCTGGTCTGAATTTAGTCATCAAACCTTCCCACCCCCCTCCAAAAAAACCCAAACCAAAAATGTCATTTTCATCAAAATGCTTTGAAGAATATGCCAACTTTGACAAAATTTTGTTAAAAAGATGAAGAGAAGCGTTTCAATAATGGTGAAACATCCTGTTTTGGCATTTTCAATATCAAACACTGATTTTTCATTTCAAAATGACTTTTCCAAATGAAATAGTGTTTTTATATAAAAACAGTTTGAAGAAAGTTAAAAAGTCAAAATTAAAATTAAATGTTTCCGTTTTATCAAAACAAAATGTCCCAAGTGTCTAAAAAACATGACATTTTTCAGAATTTCATTTTTCTGGAAATTTTAAAAAAAATTCATTCCATTTTGGAACTGGTGACATTTCAAAATCATGGAATTTGCTGCAAAATGGGAAATCTATTTTGTGCCTAGCTCTACTCAGTAATGGCTTAATCTCTGAATAATGCACATTTTCAATGAGTAGTAACCATTCAATACGATTGTGGTCAGAACTAAGCAGCATGCGTCTGACCATTTAACAGTGTCAACATTTTATAAGCCAATAATGTTATAGTAAGTGTTATTGAAGTACAACAGTGACCATTAAAAAGTCAACATTTGTCCACCGTTATTACACAATCTGATTTGAAATAGGGTAGGTATTGTCTATTTTAAGTATAACGTGATACCACAGTATAGCAGTGCATGTGAAAGAGATTTTGTAACGATGACTGAAGCACATCAGTTTT